TCTTTCCTTTACCTCTCGCTTCTTTATATAAGTTCTGCTAGCCACTTCCAGGCGGTCAACTTAGTGTGCAGCGGTTCGAAGGGCTTTCCTCGTACTGCCCTCATTACTAGTTTTTTCTCTCGCCGTTTTTCAGCTGACTGAACGCCTGCAATAGGCTACCGTTCTCTAATTTTCCATAGGGGACCAAAGTCATTCGTAGCAATTACTCTATCGTGAAGTCGTCCAGAATTCTCCCGCATCTTGGACTCATGGTCCTTTTTACAGAACTAAGCCCTCTGACGGTAAACGTATTTAGTTTTGGGTTTCCCTACGCTATGTTGGGAGAGTTCTATTTGTCAATATAGAACTGCTGCAATGCTTGTTGTACGTTTCGTATCGTTATATCCACACGCGGTCAGGTTTTGTTTGAACAGTTGACCGCAGTATCTCTACTTGTACCTCGAAAAACGTTCATAAAAATATCGAGACGCGAATTCTTGTGTCCAGTAAGTAGCCCTTCCCCACCCCACCAATGTTTGTGCATCATGCATAAGCCTTTTTGATTGGTATTTTACGATAACCATGTTGTTGCATATTGACAGGTGCCAGTCTATCCAATGCTCCACACGTCTCCTCCTGCAACGTTACCAAAACCCAAACCCAAACCTCCGGTGGCCCCCGCGGACGACATCCAGTTACCACCAGTGGGTTACAACCGAAGGACGCCGCCTAATGGCTATTGGACCCCGCCTCCAAAATACGAAGATATCTTCGCTCGACGATCAAATCCTCCTCCGTCGCCACCAAGAGACCAGGTAAACAAGTCAAGCTTGTTCACATCACTTGTTTTCCTTATCTCTCTTTTGCCATCTTCCACCGAACTGTGTATTGCTCTGGCCATAGTTAATAGAGGGGAATGGTTATGAGGCCAGGTAAATGTCAAAGGAACAAACAAACATGGCTAGATTTGTTGGAAGGTCCAAAACCGTACACAATCTTTTGTTTTGTCCTCATTCACTATGCATGAATTACTTAACCGAAACGTTTCTTTTTGTTAGTTCCTCAGTCACAGGTTAACAACTATTGTGTCTTATACACGGTGAAGGCCAAGAAAGTGAAAAAACAAAACAAAACAAAACAAAACAAAACAAAAACATACAAACAAAGAACTTTTCCGGGTTTCATAACCATTCCCTCATATAAACTATGCTCAAGCAACATGGTGGATCAGTCAAACTTTTGTTGACAGTTTTATTCTGATTTGTTACAGGATGTGGTAGTAGCAGACCTTGATAAAGAAATAGCAGGGCTAGAGGGCCTTATGAGAGATCTTAATGAAATCACTGCCGGAGATTATTTGGTCTGACATGGTACGTCTAAACTACTGTACTACACAATACTTACTATTCAAGTATTCCTAGAAAAAGAATATAGCAAACCGTTAGGTGGTGGAATATTTAATAACGTAAAGCTTTGATAGATCCTAATGAAATCACTGCTGGAGATGATTTAGTCCAACACGGTGTGTCTAAACTATTGCGGACACAATAATTACTATTGCTAGGAAAAAAAATGTAGTAAATCGACATGTGGTGAAATATTTAATAACTTTGAGCTTTGAGAGATCTTAATGAAATCACTGCTGGAGATTATTTAGTCTAACATGGTGCGTCTAAACTACTGTGCTACACAATACTTAATATTGCTAGAAAATAAAATAAAGCAAACCGTTTTGTGGCGAAATATTTAATAACTTTGAGCATTCGACGACCTGATTAAAATGAGAGAAAGTGGTACAGGTTGTAAATATTTCAACCAGGGAACGCTTTATTATAGACCTTATGTTTTTACAACTGTAAGTTGTTTTAGTTAGTATTACTATTTTCGTGTTGTGGAAGGCTCTCCTTCAATGTTTGTTATGAAAGTTGTTTGTGTATCGAAAGCGATATCGATAATGCTACTGGGAAAGAAACTAACGTAATCACAGAGCTAATCAGTGCAGCTTAACCAACCAAAAGCTTGCAACCTGCCTGCACGCAGACAGAAAGCGCGGGAAAGATTCATCGCGACTGCTTCACAGAATGTATCTGATTGGATGAAGAGATTAGTTAGAACACGTGTCAAGTTTTATTACAAACTCAAAATTATACGGGGTTGCGTCACAGATGGAACAGCTTTAAATGTTTAGCTGGTAATTTTCTTTCAAGTTTCTCGTTCGTAATCCGTCCGAATCTTGCTCAATATTAACCATCCTTGTTCGGTTTTGGTTTGTTGTGACCTCATTGGCGTCTTTCTGCCATAGTGAACTCTTATTTTGGTGTATTCGTCTCTCTGAGAGTGCTTAAGTACATCGTTATTTTATTTTCTTTTTCCAAAAGGTCGAGAAGAAGACGAAGAACAGAGAAAGTAGCAGGAAAACTGTTGGTTTACTCCCGACCAGTGGCATCGTCATGATATGTTGTTTCGGTTTGCAAACAGTCCTCATCCTAAGCTTGAGAAGGTGGTCTACACAGCCCGGTGCAGCACCCAAATGAATAACCGGACAAACAAAAAGGCGTTGAATCCTATAAACTAGAGATTTATTAAGTATTTTACATTTATTAACGACAAAAAGTAATTTTGTGTGTGTATGTATTATGTTTGTAATATGTTATACCCGGTTAGCAAGTCTTCTGTCATAGCGTCTGTGAACACAGCAACCGTTCATCGTTGGTTACTCGATATTTTCCGCAGTTCTTTACCCTGGGTATTACGGTTCTGCTTTCAAAATCGGACCATCCTATCAGACAACACAAAGCTCACGAAATAGTTATTTTATTTTTGTGTTGAGTATAGAGATTTGATTCATTTGACGTCAAATAAGGAGATGATATATAAAAATTATTTTTGAGTATGTAATAGCAATTCATCGGGGACGAATATATATTTTTGGATTGGTTAGCGCCTACGATCAGATTAGGTTTAATTAAGTAACTATCTTCAGTTATTTGGTGCATAGCACCTCTGTAGTAGACGCTCAGCTGCTTGCCCACTAGTTTAACTCGTGTGCAGCATGTGAATGACAAGCCCACACTTGTGACAAGGTGGTTCTGGACGAGAAATCTGCGCGAAATAAACGTCTAGTCCACCTGCGATGCTAAATAGTTGGTCAGCGAGGTTGCTTAGCAACGTGATGTCACTACCCGCAATTGTCCAGTTACGTGATACAAAAAACTTCGCAGAAACTGTTCTTCGATCGGTCAAACAAAAATAGCAATATTTCTGTAAATATTATCTGATGACATAGAAACCTCAGAACAGAGCATAGTAAATATTACTCTCATCATAGTACCTATATGTTGAACGAGCTTGCAGTTTGTTCCCAAAATTACAATTCTGCTGAAGTCAAAAGTCAATTTGATTCTTGAAGTTGAAAGAACTTTACAGCTGTTAGTCTTATGTTAGGGGATATGTTAGTGCTCAACGTGGCATACTCGACCGTGAACAATGTTTAGGGCTTTTCAGTGTGGCGGGAGTTATTTCGTAGGATACCTAGTGAGAACGTTTTGTATTTTTACAGGAAAAAATATTTTTGGTAGACTTGCCACTGTTGGACGCCAGTTTACAGATCAAGCGCGTATATTGAAGGTTGCTTGTGATATTCATCGCAAACTTGTATAGAAAAATAATTCTTGTATGTAATAAAATTTACTCAGACGTTGACACATTCATGGTTTCATTATTTTTGAGTCCGTTTGTTAAAAAAAAGCCAGGTACTTTGGTGAGATGATTATGCCAATACGGGAATGCAACCACATTCCCGGCCCCCTGAGCGAGCAAGCGGAAGAGAGACCCTGGGAACGAGGTTGATAGGAATGCTGGCCTACCATTCCCACCATGGTGATGAGTTAAGATATTTGAAAATTTTACGAGCCCCA